AAGTGTCGCGTGTGCACAGAGAAGCACCGTGGCAAATAAACCGCCGAGCACGATGCCCAGCAGATGCACAGCGCAAGCGATGCCTGGCAGAGAAGCTGCGAGCAGATGTGTGCAAGCAACCACTTTCCTCTGCAAGCAACGGCCCCAGCACCGGGACAAAGCTCTGGGTGCTTCCCAGGAGGTTTGTGCAGCGCCGTGGCTGCAGCTGCAGTGGGAAGAGGATGGGCAGCCCTGGAGAGCTGCCACGTTCTCACCTCTGCCGTTTTCAGATCAATAACTCTGGAGTGGGAATAGTGATGGCAGGCTTGGCTTTCACCAGCTCATCGTAAGTCCTGTTCTCCGCTCCTTCCCCGTAGACAGCCTGCAGCGCTCGAACGGCGTGATCTTTGTCGCTGTCATTCTCATCAGCCTCCTTGTCCGTCTCCAGGAATGCCAGCAGGCTCCTCACCTCGTCCATCCACTCCTGCCACGGTGGAGAGAGGAGCACGTTGCTCAGCAGCTCGCTGGGGCAGGAGCAGCTGCAGCTGTGGTGAACAGTGGGAAGCAGCAGCACGAGGGCTCCCAACCACAAGAGCGGCCAGAGACCTTCACTCCGGGAAGGAGCAGAGAGGAGAAAGCTGCTGTTTTCCCTGGTCTTCCCTTGGGTTTCTCCAGACGGCCCATAAAATGGGCTTCAGGAGCCTCCTGCAGACCCACCCGATCCACAGGCTGCCCCGAGAAGGGGCAGGAGCTGCTCCTTGGCTCCCTTCCACAGCAGGGCCCCAGCCGTACCTCGTTGGAGAGGAGAAAAATCTTGGCTCTGTACTCTCTGCTGCCGCAGGTGCTGATCTGAACCTGGCAGGAGGTGCAGGCGCGTGTCCCTGACACCGGGAGGAAGAAGCGCTTGTGGAGGATGGTGTTGAGCAGGGTGCTCTTCCCCGCGCCGCTGCTCCCGAAGAGCCCGATGTAGATGGGCTCGAAGTTAAGCTTGGAGCTGAGGGTCGTGATGCGGTCCCTGGGAGAACAGAGGTAGAATCATAGAATCATAGAATATCCTGAGCTGGAAGGGACCCTTAAGGATCATCAAGTCCAACTCTTGACACCGCACAGGTCTACCCAAAAGCTCAGACCATGTGACTAAGTGCACAGTCCAATCTCTTCTTAAATTCAGACAGGCTCGGTGCAGTGACCACTTCCCTGGGGAGCCTGTTCCAGTGTGCCACCACTCTCTCTGTGAAGAACCCCTCCTTATGTCAAGCCTAAATTTCCCCTGCCTCAGCTTAACCCCGTTCCCACGGGTCCTGTCACTGGTGTTAATGGAGAAAAGGTCTCCTGCCTCTCGCACCCCTTACGAGGAAGTTGTAGACTGTGATGAGGTCTCCCCTCAGCCTCCTCTTCTCCAGGCTGAACAGGCCCAGTGCCCTCAGCCGTTCCTCGTACGTCTTCCCCTCCAGGCCTTTCACCATCTTCGTAGCCCTCTCTGGACACTCTCCAACAGTTTCATGTCCTTTTTATACTGTGGTGCCCAGAACTGCACACAGTACTCGAGGTGGGGCCGCACCAGTGCAGAGTAGAGCGGGACAATCACCTCCCTTGACCTACTAGCGATGCCGTGCTTGATGCACCCCAGGACACGGTTGGCCCTCCTGGCTGCCAGGGCACACTGCTGGCTCATATTCAACTTGTTGTCTACCACAACCCCCAGATCCCTCTCTTCTAGGCTGCTCTCCAGCGTCTCATCGCCCAGTCTGTACGTGCAGCCAGGGTTTCCCCGTCCCAGGTGCAGGACCCGGCACTTGCTCTTATTGAACTTCATGCGGTTAGTGATCGCCCAGCTCTCCAACCTATCCAGATCCCTCTGCAAGGCCTTTCCACCCTCAACAGAGTCCACAACTCCTCCAAGTTTGGTGTCATCAGCAAACTTGCTCAAATACCTTCTATTCCTACATCCAGATCATTTATAAAATATTGAAAAGTACCGGCCCTAAAATGGAGCCTTGAGGGACCCCACTGGTGACCGCCCGCCAGCCTGACGCAGGCGGATTCCACCGCAGCGGGTTCAAATTCCAGGGGACTTTTTGCCTTGCCAGGTGCATTATCTCCACCCAAAGGGCTTGTTCCCAAAGCACAGACCGTGCTCTCTCTCCACCGTCCTCTCATTTGCCTGCCCCAAGCCCTGGCGAGCCCGTGCCGAAGTGGGAGCAGCTCTGGAGCTCAGCCCTAACGCCTCCCTGACCCCTCCATGGGCTGCCAGCAAAAAAAAAAAAAAAGGATGAATCCTCCTTACAGCAGGAAGCTGTCGCAGCAAAACCTGCTTCCACCCTCTAGCTTTGGTGGCAATTCCCAGTTTGAATTTTCTGGTGCCCACCAAAGCCCCGGAGCATGGCGGAGCCTGGGGGGACGGACGGGGGCACGTTGCCCAGGGGAAAGCCAGGCTGGCGGGGGTCTCTCTGGCCGCACACTCACCGGAGATAAGCCAGGTGCTCGGGCATGTCCTTCAGATGAAAGAGGTGGGATATCTTCTCGCACGAGGCGGTCAGGATTTTTCTGACCCTCTCCTCCATCTTCTCGTCTGGAAGGGAGAGGCGGCGCACGGTCAGGCTGTAGGAGGAGGTCTCCAAAGGAAGCAGCCCCAGCAGCCCACGGTGAGCCTCAGGCGGAGGCTGGCACCCCTGGGAGCTGGGGTGATTTACAAAATGCCCGTTATTTCTACCAAACACAGTTGGATGGGGAAGGTGCCCAGTGCCAAGCAACGAGAAGGAGTTGCTGCTGGCAGAGGGGAGCATTTTGGGGTGCTCTGGCTCCTCGGGCAGCACCGAGGTTGCTCCTGGGGAGTCTGGGGAGTGGGTCCTCCGTGGCAGTGCTCAGAGCAGCTGCAGCCTGCTCGTGCCTCTCCTTCCACCACAGGTCCCTCTCCAGACCTCGCTGTGTTTTAGGCATGGCTCTGGTGCCACCAGGCAGGTGGCTTCCCCTACTCACATTTCCTGAGCGTCTCCCTTTCCTCCTGCTGGAAAGCGTCCGGCAGTCGCGGTCGCCTCTGGGGGACCTCAGCTGCATCGTTCTCTGCACCTTTTCACAGGGAAAGGACATCAGCATTATTAGCACCGCAGCATCCCCAGGTGTCAAAGCCTCAGAGCAAACAGCCTCACCTATTCCTGACACCGAGAGGAATCAGCCCTCGCAGCCTGAATTCGGGGTGCTGTGGCGCATGAGGGTGAAGGTCGGATCACCCAGCTGCAGGTTTGGCCACCCGATCATTACCCGAACAAACCCAAACCCTAAAATCTGGGCGGTGACCACCTCCCCTGCTTCAGACATCCCTGCCAGGGCGAGCAGCTGCCAAAACTCTGTGTCCCGGGGTCACCAATGCTGCTGGCCAGAGGAGATCTTCACTCGTTGTGTCTGCGCGTGGAACCCAAATCCTTCCCCTCGGGCATCTTTTCCTAACCGTCTTTCTCCGCACAGCCCCAGCAGGGATGTGAATCTCTGCCCCCAGCAGCGACAGGCAGCTAGGAGGCTTTACACCTTGCGCTATGCAGAAAACCTGCAGAACTGGCCCTATGTTTGTAAAATCAGTGAAAACAGCTTGAGGTTTTCGTGCAGGAATGGTGTCGGGAGCCTTGAGGGCATTTTTGTTTCTGACTCCTGCAGTTTTTTTTTGTTTTTTTTGTTTTTTCTTTTTCTTTTTTTTTTTTTCTTCTAGTGTCAAGCTTCAGGTTTTGCAAGAAGCATTGCCACACCGCTCCCCAAAATGAACTACGTTCGGGTGGAGACGCCTTTGCACAGCCCTGCTCCCCTGTGATGAGCAGGGAACGCGCTTCAAAGAGAAACTGCGGCTTCCTGGGCCCTGGCATCCAGCTAAAGACGGAAATCTTTACCCTCAGCAAGTGAAAGCAAGCCGGGTCGGTGCGAGCTGCTGGGACTGGGGAGGGAAGGGCAGCAGAAGCCTGCAGGAGCGGAGGGGAAGGCAGGGACAGCGGCTCACCGCGACGCATTGCCATGTCAATCTCGGCCAAACTCTGCCTCGGTGCCCCGTCGCTCCTGCTTTCCACAAGGAAGCTGACCTGGCTACGACCGCTTCTGTACTCCAAGGACTACTTGGGGAAGTAAAAAGGAAACAGTTTTGAAGTTTGCAGCCTGCTTCGTGCCACCCACGCCGCTGCACGACCCGGGGTAGTGGTTGGTGCTGGCGTGTGCCGCTTCTTGATGTGCACTGCCCTGCAAGAAGGGCAGCTCGGGGCTGGCCCAGCACCTGCTCACACCCTGCACGAGAGCTTTGCAGCACTGCCACCACCCCGAAAGATGCTCCCCAGGTGCCTCGTTGCCATTGGACCGCAGAAATTAAAATTAAAAACGGGCTGGATTAAAGCTGCCCGGGGCTGCTGTCTGGCCAGACCTGCTCCAAACCCTCCTGCCCCGTGCCGTTCCTGGGCACAGCATCCTGCTGCGAGCAATCAAAGCAGTGCCCAGCCGGGGCACTTATCGATTTGCTTGTGCAGAGGTCGCCCTGGGTTTCGAAGAAGAAACCCCACGTGCTCGTCTGCGGCGTTGGGGCAGGTTAATCATCAACCCGCCGATGTGCGACCCGCAGCAGGCAGCCAGCTGTCCCAGCAAGGTCATTTATCACATCCTCCCCTCACCGCCAGTGCCCCACCAACCCGCAACCCCTGCTTCGCCCCCAGCGTTTGCCTCCGTGACTATTGCGACCCCAATCAGGCTAATTGAGACCAACTCCATCTGGCACCGCGCACGGCCAGCACCCAGGGGCGGACACGGCCAGCACCCACTGCAGGCAGCTTTTCTCACCTGTGCTCCGGGAAAACTGCCGAAATCTGGCTGTGTTTGGGCAGGGAGGAAGCAGCCACGGGCTCGTCTACAGAGCTATCGGAAAGCTAACGTTTCTCCCAGAAAAAAAAAATAAAATAAAATAAATAAAATAAATCACAAGCCAGAGCTCGATGCTTTGGCTTCCTCCTGCTGCTGCGTATAAATGGTGAAACGAAAGCTGCTGCACGTGTCCTGCCCCTACCATGCTCTTCCTCTTTGGCCCCCCGCCAGCTTCCTCGTGCCCCCGGCTCCTCTCTGCGTGGGTCATGTCTCTGTGCCCGTCCCCCTGCTCACACCCTTGTACCCTGAAGCATTTTTTTGCTCCTTTTCCTGGAGCTGGGTGGCTCACCCAGCCCGTCCCAGCCTGCAGCAGCCCCGGGGCTCCTTGGCTGGCAGATGACAGAGCCCGGTTGTCACGGTGCAGCAGTGCCCGTGGCCTCATCCTGCCGCCTCCAGGCCTTAAAGCTAGAAGCAGAAAGCCCCCGGCGAGGGCTTTCCACAAAGGCTTTTGCACAGATTTTTCCTGTCTTTGCTTTTGCATCCAGATCTCTCCATCTCCTGTGAGCTTTTCCTAGGCTCCGGCGCCATAAAAACGCCGTCCTCACTACTAAATGCTCCCCAAAATCTTTGCTAACACCGTGAACAAAATCTTTCTGTTGGTGCGGAACTGCCTGGGCTCCATTTTGTGGCCATCACCTTCATCCTGCCCCCACGCCACATGCTAACCAGCCCCATTTTTATGGGCAGCCGTACCTTTTCTACCCTTTTTCTGCCCATCCTGGCTTTGTTCCTCCTGCAGAGCTCGGCAGTTTCTGCACCTTCCCTTTCTGGATGCCCTGGTTCACGCACGACCCCACTGCAAGGCGCAGCTTTCCTGCAAACAGTGCCTGGGGTTTGATGGCTCACCGGCTGCTGTGACTCAGGGAATTTTTTCTTCCCGCCTTCGTCTGTCTTTTGCCACGTCTGTGGTGTGTGTAGCATGTATCATGGTTAACAGGGCCTGAGGAAGGAAATCATCTGATATGACGAGGAGTGACTGCTTTAAGCTCAGAGAGGCAAGGTTCAGGTGAGGCATTAGGAGGAAATCCTTCCTGGTGCAGGCTGCCCCAGGAGCTGGGGGTGCCCCAGCCCTGGGGGTGCCCAAGGCCAGGCTGGATGGGGCTTGGGGCAGCCTGGGCTGGGGGCAGGGGTCCCTGCCATGGCACGGGTGGCACTGGAGGGGCTTCAAGGTCCCTGCCAACCCAAGTTATTCTACAATCTGATGGTTCTAGATGAATTCTGATGAATGGCTTGGGATGGAAAGGACCTCGAAGATCATCTAAGGGCAGGGACACCACCCACCAGATCGGGTTGCCCAAAGCCCATCCAGCCTGGCCTTGAACACCTCCAGGGATGGGGCACCCACAGCTTCTCTGGGCAACCTATGGCATGGCTTTTCTAGCCCAGGCATGGCTTTGGTAGGAGCACACTAAGTATGCACAAGTCTGTTCTGAACAATTTTATGGTATTAGCAAAATATCAGAAGAGATATAAGCCTCGTTGGTACAATCGGGCTTCGTTTGGGGTGTAGGCACACCGGGTGGCGGAGTGAAACACACACACGTATCTCCACGTGCACGAAGGGGCCCAGAGGCACAGCAGCCAGTGAAACCTCAAGAACCTCAGCACAGACACAGGCACCGTGGTCCTGCTTCTCCCAGGAGAGCATCACTTCCATGGTCCGGGCTGCCAGCACCACGAGGAGTCAGAGCTGGAGCCCCCTCGGGTGCGGAACATGGCACAGCATGCAGGGCAGGGGCACTGCCCGGGTCTCTTACTTAAATAGCACCATCCAATGCATACAAAATATCTCAGAAATGCTTTTATAAGAGGAAAAAAAGCACCAGAGGAGATTCCCCATGAAGCCGCGGAGTAAGAGAATGTGAAATGTGTTCATCTGATTCGTGTCCGTATGGAACAATGCTGGGGTATGATGAAATGTGATTTCTGTCTTCCATACCCTTGTATAACCACAGGTCTAAGAAGAACAGAGTGGTTAATGTATAGAGTTCTTGTAGCTTGCAAAGGAATGGTCCAGCAATTCGTGTCAATAGGGGATAAGAACAAAGGGGGTTCAGAATAACTGCTAACTATTGGGACTGTTGCAGGGGACACTGTGCAAGTCTCTGATATCTGCCCAGGAGATTAAGGAGAAGGGGAAAGCTGAAGGACGACTAAAAGACAAAGGTTGCAGGGGACGCTGCACAAGTCTCTGACATCCAGCCAAGTTGGACAAAGGAGAAGGACAAGAGGGAGGAAGACTATGAGCCTTCAGCATGAGAGACCCCAGAGACCCCCAGAGGGACCACTGGAGACTGATATGCGTGCTCTAGTAGGAGAGTTTGGATTTGGAAACTAATTATAATAACCCTGTTTTTTTAGAAGTAGTAATGAATATGTATCAGCCTAGGAGCATAAAACCAGCTGCTTGATGTAACTGGTGTGCGTCTTGGTGGAGCGGAGACTCCCGGCACACCCAGTGTTGTTTGCTTACCTCTATTTCCTTAATAAATTGTAAACTTTGATTGAAACCCTATTTGGGACTGAGCCATTTATTACAAGAACAAGGCACCAACGTGAATAATAAAACCACATCGTCGGAGACAATTCCCGCGGCTCTCTAAGCGACTTTGGCTGATTGCAGGGCCTTGTGAATGTTGATGATGGTGAAAAATTCTCTCTGCAAGTCTGCAAAACAGAGGAGCCTGTTAGAGCGGCCTGGGCATCTGGACCCTCTCGTGCCCCCAAAACGGGGAGGAAGGAGTGCAGGACCTGCACGAACAGCCCCAAAGCCGTGCTCGCGGCCATACCTGGCAGCTTGCCGTCCAGCTGGTCCCACGGGCAAAAGACCAAGCCGAGAGCGCTGGAAAAGTCCTCCTCCAGCTTCCTGGGGATCTGCTTCTGCAAGCGCCAGGCAGCCAAGCACATGAGCAGGGGACAGGGCTGAAGCCCCCCAGTCCCTCCCAGTGCCCGTGGGGACCCTGGGACGGGGAAAGCTCAGGGACAGCCACCCCCCACCTCCATCCAGCCAATTCGTTGCTGCGGGTGCTGGTGCACAAGAAGGAGAGCCCAGCTCGATATTTTGATAAGGATTAAGGATTTCCATACAGCTTTTCAGAGCACAGCCTCTCTGGTAAAATGAGCCACGAGAGCCCACTGGGGCTGATGGGCTCCGGGGGGTGGAGGCGGCAGCTTTGAGCTCCTCGAAGCCCCTTCACCCAAACTGTGGTTCATGTGGGGAGAGGAGTGAGGTGGTTACCAGTTACAGGTAACTGCTAGACCAGTTACAAGTCTGCAGGCAGCCCCTCCAGTACAGGAGCGTCTACACATTGGTGCCTCGAGCTCAACTTGGTCCCTAGTGGTGATGTGCAATGGATAAATGGTGTTAAACACCTCTGTGCTTCTGGAGGCGGCTCTGCTGCCAAAAAAACCATGCCGGAGAACCTGCTGAAGCCAACATCTCCCAAGGAAATTCCCTCCCGTTATCACACGCGTTCACAAGATCCTTTTTGGACCATTGTCCCCTACCCACAAGCACTGACCATGGCTGGAGGGAGGTCCCCAAGGCGCCCAACGTACCTGCATGTCCTGGAGGTGCCCTTTCATGCTCTCCTCAGCTCTTTCAAACATTCCTCTCTCCACCTCTCTCGTCACCCCAGTGCTAAGGATGGTTTTCATCCGCTGGAAGGCTTGTGCTCCTCTTACCGTGGCTGCCTCTGTGGCAAAGAGGGGACTGTCACACGGGGATCCAGAGCGAGGACACAGGTGGGGACAAGGGGCAGGACTTTGTCCCTTTTTTGACTCCTGGCCCAAGCCCATTTTCCTGCATGTTTCGCAGGCACTAATTAAACAGGGATGTTCCCCAACAGGAGCTCGTTATTTTTCCTCTCCGTATTTTTTTCCCCGTGCCCCACGAATGTTTCCAGAGGTCAGAGAAAGAGCAGCTGGCTGTGAGGAGAGCTCTGTTGGGGTGGCCCGTCCCCAGGACACCTCCCTGCTTTGGCCCAGCAGTGCATTTCCACAACTAACTACCCCAGGAATTAAGGTGTCTTCCCAAAGCCAACGCGAGCAACTTCTGGATTTGGGGTTTTGAACTGTTTCGCTTTCTGACTGTGCCACCTACTGATAGGAAAGGAAGGAAAAACCAAAATCAGATTCAGCAGCTTGTTGCTTTAGCATCCTTCCTCTCCTTCCTTCAGAGGCAGTCAGTCTAATAAGAATGATTTACTGCTAGAAAATATCCATGATTTACAAAAAATATAGAAAATAGAGTAAATCAGGGAAGGAATTTTCTCTATTTGAGCATGATCTACTTTGGATTTCAGAAATCTCCATGAGTCGATGACCAAATAACAGATAATCCTTTTGCCCCATAGATTTCTTTGCAGCCTTTCTACAGGTAGGTGGTAAGACTGGGCCCTTCTGCTGAGCCCTCACTGGGGTTATTCTACGAAAATCAAAACCTCCAGGGACAAAGAGGAAAAAAACGAGGTGTCTGGTCTTACCTTCATAGCAGAGCAGCAGGTCGTTTTGAATGGACGCTGCAAGGGACTGGTAGATTTCTGCTTTCCTCTGCAGGATGAATTTTTCAGCCTCAGCGACG